CTCCTGAGGTTATAATCCAATCCCAACGCCTCGGGCCACCGATGTTTTTCAATATTATCCGCTAGTTTTACCCTGTTTTGATGCGGAGGTGAATGGGTTGACAGCTTGAGGGATTTTAAAAAATATTTTTGAGAATTCAAGTTTATTCTGATTTTTTTGTTCGGGATTTTCTGGGGCTTTTGGATTGTATTGGAATTTTTTTGAGTGAGATTGTGTTTTAATTGTCTTGAGAAATTATATCTTGAATTATTTTGGAATATTAAGAGGTGGATCTTGATTTTATGAATTAGTCGGAATAATTGTCAGTTACTGTAGTAATTGGATTTAATTTACTCTAATTTTTTTGGAGAGTATTTGAAAAAAATGCCAAAATCGAGTTGGAATGTAGGAGTTCGCGGATTTTGAAGAATTTTGATTGGAAATATCAGTTGAAATTTTAAACAGCTGAAATTTTTATCTTTACAATCTGAATGGTGTCTCTAAATTAGTTGATTTTCATATGGAATTATTCTGTTTGCTGTGTTTACTCATTAAGTCAGAATTAGTTATTATTTTTCTACGAAAACTAAAAAAAATCTCTCGTAAAATCGACGAACATTTTAATTAACTAATTTTTAATTTTTGTAAATTATTCACCAAACTGATGCAAAATTAGTTCAATTCTCTCTCATTTTCTGTCAAATTATTTCTCAAAACTTCCAAAGTTCCACGAGCAATTTTTATTCATAATTCCATCCAAAAATGTTCAATATCTAAAACTTTGCTCTTCAAATCTCGAATAAAATCTCTAAATTATCAAATGTTCATATAAAATTATTCCATTCCTTCTATGCAGTTGTTATTCCCCATTCAATTCAGTTCGATCCCATCATAATCTGCCCCGAAAAAATAAAAATTATCAACCGCCTCTAGTGAACGAAAAAATTGAATGAAAAAATCCCAATGCAATTGAACCCCTCCCCCCTTAAGCCACCAATAATGACGCCCCGGTCTGGCACGATGTACCGAGACAGCCTACTTACCCCATGCAAATATTCAATACTCCCCTCCCGCATACACGTCGCATTGAAACGCATCCTATTGTCGTATTCCATTTGGGGCCACCAGGTAATACCTCTTTTCCCACTGTGAAACTTTGTCGATATAAACTCCTCGCCGGTTGAGGAGTTCTATACAAGCACATCCCACCTCAATGGAGACATTTACATGTACACGAACGATATATACCCAAACAAAGACGATTGTTTACCCCCCGGGAAGTCATGCCAAGCGGCAAAACTCGAGAAAAGCCCGAGAAAAAGAAAATGCAAACAGTAAAAGAAGCGAGAAAGCCCTCTTCCTCATTCATCTGATTATTTTCTCGAGTCTCGACAATTGCATAATGCTACACTGTTAGAAATTTTTAAAATTTCATGGAAAATATGATAGTAATTCTCACGAGAGTTACATTCAATTTTCAATGAAACACGACTCTTCCGAAGCAAAATCACATGAATTTTCCATTTTTCCCTGAATTTTTCCATTTTCCCCTTTTTCTGATTTTTTTTGAATTTTTACGGAATAATTTACCTGAAAAATCAAGTACTTTATTGATTTTCAGATCATTTCAACCGAAAATTAACAGAATATTTGATTTTTCAATGTCAGAATTCCCTAAAATTCCAGTGGAAATTGAATACGACAAAAATTTCCAGGATTTGGCACGGAAAATTCAGACGAAAATTTTCTAGTGTAGGATACTGTCAATTCCCACTGGCCCCTATAACCATTATAAAAACACATGATTAAAAAAAAACAATAGGAAGTGACGTCAAGCAGTAAAAGCTCGAGAAAAATAAAGAAAATGCAAACAGTAAAAGAAGCGAGAAACCCTCTTGCTCATTCATCTGATTATTTTCTCGAGTCTCGACAATTGCATAATGCTGCACTGTTAGAAATTTTTAAAATTTCATGGAAAATATGATAGTAATTCTCACGAGAGTTACATTGAATTTTCAATGAAACACGAATATTCCGAAGCAAAATCACATGAATTTTCCATTTTTCCCTGAATTGTTCCATTTTCCCCTTTTTTCTGATTTTTTTTTAATTTTTACGGAATAATTTACCTGAAAAATCAAGTACTTTATTGATTTTCAGATCATTTCAACCGAAAATTAACAGAATATTTGATTTTTCAATGTCAGAATTCCCTAAAATTCCAGTGGAAATTGAATACGACAAAAATTTCCAGGATTTGGCACGGAAAATTCAGACGAAAATTTTCTAGTGTAGGATACTGTCAATTCCCACTGGCCCCTATAACCATTATAAAAACACATGATTAAAAAAAAACAATAGGAAGTGACGTCAAGCAGTAAAAGCTCGAGAAAAATAAAGAAAATGCAAACAGTAAAAGAAGCGAGAAACCCTCTTGCTCATTCATCTGATTATTTTCTCGAGTCTCGACAATTGCATAATGCTGCACTGTTAGAAATTTTTAAAATTTCATGGAAAATATGATAGTAATTCTCACGAGAGTTACATTGAATTTTCAATGAAACACGAATATTCCGAAGCAAAATCACATGAATTTTCCATTTTTCCCTGAATTGTTCCATTTTCCCCTTTTTTCTGATTTTTTTTTAATTTTTACGGAATAATTTACCTGAAAAATCAAGTACTTTATTGATTTTCAGATCATTTCAACCGAAAATTAACAGAATATTTGATTTTTCAATGTCAGAATTCCCTAAAATTCCAGTGGAAATTGAATACGACAAAAATTTCCAGGATTTGGCACGGAAAATTCAGACGAAAATTTTCTAGTGTAGGATACTGTCAATTCCCACTGGCCCCTATAACCATTATAAAAACACATGATTAAAAAAAAACAATAGGAAGTGACGTCAAGCAGTAAAAGCTCGAGAAAAATAAAGAAAATGCAAACAGTAAAAGAAGCGAGAAACCCTCTTGCTCATTCATCGGATTATTTTCCCGAGTAGTCTCGACACTTGCATAATGCAAGGATCCTGTCACCCCCCTGGCCCCCGTAACCATTACAAAAATATATATTCCAAGGAAATGAAAGAACAATTTAACTCCGAACAGTAGAAGTCAGATTGCCACTGTCGATTAACCTCGAGATTGAATCGTCCGAAAGGGTATTTCCATGGAAATCCTTCCACTCTCGTGGAACAGTGAATACAACATATCCCTATGTGAAGAGAATTTCATAAAGAACAAGAGGATAAAGAAGGCTGGATAAAAATCCTCCAGTGGATTATTACGGCTCGATGAAGTCGTTAATACGGTTTCAATTAATTTCCCATGGGATTCAGCTCGTCACCGAGTGAACTGTGCATTGATAAAAATTAATAATGCACTCGACTCGTCTCATACCGAGTTTAATTACTTTCAAAGACTCGTTCGAGGGAATTCTCTTCATTAAACTGGTGATCCTGAAGTGTAACATGCCTCCTGTATCTATAAATGTATTTTTCTAGGAAAATGTGAAGACTAAAATTATAAAAAAAATATGTACAATGAATATATTTAAAGAGGAATAATGAACGGGCTAATGAGAGTTCGAATTTTGTGGAAAATTGAGTGGTTAGATGTTGAAGTTTATGTCGTGTAAAATTGTTAGAAATATGGGAAATACGAGGGCTGTGGCACTCGGAGAAATGATGCATTTGAATTGAATAAAACTCGTTAGTTGACATTTTCAGATTCATTTCAACAATTTTTTAAAAAATTTATTGATTATATAAAATGAATTTATGAAGAGCTATTTGAATAAACCCGTTTATTATATTCAAATGAATCATTTCTCTGGTTGGGGAATACTTCTGGGGTAAATCCCGCAAAAATGGTAGCGTCGAAGTAGAAACTTGAATGTAAATTGAGCTTCCACTGCGCAAATGAAGTTTCCAGAATTTATCCTCAACTTCAATTTTTTTTCTCATCAAAAATCGTGTTTCATTTATATTTTTTATTACGAGAACGACCCATTGGGCAGAAGTATTCCTCTCCCTCAGCATTTGTAGCTCCAAAAACTGGAAAACATAAATGCCGGAAATACATAAACCCATTACATGGAAATTGAGGGGATAATATTCCTGCATTTCGCCCTCGTAACTCCGGTCCACGTAATCTTGCTAGAGTTACATTGTTCCCATAAACGATATGACTCAGCGATACAGCGTATCCCAGCATCTTCCAAAACATTCCACCATATGTATCTAACACTGAAAAAAAAAATCAATAAATGTGTTTAAATAAAAAAGAAAAAGCAAAGTGTACGAAGATTTTATCCATCTTGTTCCAATTTTTCAAGTTGACGGCTAAAAATAAACACGTGAGGGTGCATTCAACTGGTTAATTTCATTTTTTGCCTCTGGGATATTGATTTTTTTGACGGGGGAGGGAATGGGGTTGGGGGAATTGAGAGAGGACAGGTGGATCGATGGCGGGGGGTGGGGTGGGGTTAATGGCAAGTGTTGGAGAGATCCATTCCGAAATTCCGCGATAACCCGCGAACATTTCTGGCGTATGCCCAGCCTGTTGCTTGCTGATTGGGAATTGGGGCGAGTCATTGTTTTGCGCTTGGTTTAGAGCCGGTTTGTAAATAAATTCTCGATGCAGAATTCATCTGGTGGACTAGGCGACAGTATTTTTTTGTGGGGATATTTATTCAATTTTTTCAACTCTATTCACCAATGTGGGATCAAGAGGCGATGGGAGGAGCGAACCGTTCTGGATGATGAGTTTCTTCACTTCAGGTCGCGACGCAGTTTCTTATAAGGTCTCAATTTATCTGTCTGAGATTTTACGATTGGCATATTGCGCCGTAAAATATTAAGGGGTGTTCGGAAATAAAACGTATCAGTTGGAGCCTTTTGTAGGAAGGCATGACGTTGTTCTTTATTCAAATGACAAAGTGCTTGGAGGACGATAGTCAATTTTGTAAAGCTATTGGGTAGATGATGGTTAATTTTCAAAAGCTTTTGTTGGAATGATAAAACGATAGAGAAGTCAGGGCGCTTCGCGCCCGTCGCTAGATTAATTTATGTTATTTCACTTTTTTTTCATTTTCGTTTTCACAATTAGATTAATTTAATTTTATCCATTCTATATATTTTTTTATATATAGAATTATATATATATATATTTTTCTTAATGGTTCCTTATGTTTTCTTAATGTTTTTCTTAGTGTTTAATTGTGTATAGTGATCAATATATTTTTCAATGTCAGTGCATCATTCTTCTAGAATTTCTTTACACGATGTTCTTTATTTAACTATTGTCATCTTTTTTTTATTCTACCTCCTTCAGATATACATATTTTTTGTTTTTCACTTGTTCTTACTCCTGAAAACGCAATATATAATGATAATATTCTCAAGTTTTATGATCTAATTTTAGCGAGAAGAAATTAAAAAAAATGCAAAATAACGTGAACTGAAAGAAATGAAAAAATCAATTTTTCAATGTCTCCGCAAAATTTTTAAATCGATATATCTTTTCGAATAATAAATAAGAATACCCATAAATTCGATTTCTATCCGTGTCTATCGATAGAATAACCGTAATAAATGACAAAAATGAAGAATTGGACTAGAAATTTTATGCGATTATTATTATATAATAATAATAATTATTTATGAGATTACTTTATCGAGTCGATCATTGCATTGTTGAGTCAATGAATTAGTCTCATAAATAAAAAATAACAATTGCAGGAGAAAACAATTCTAAAATTTTATATAGACACAGGGGTTCCGTCTCCCCTTAATTCGTCTCCAGTTTGGTTTCACGTCTCGTCTAAATCGAATAATCGCCCCTTCAGATACCCTCACACTATAAATTCGCCTTGTCGCCTCCCCTCAAGAAATCATAACGTTATAACAAAAAATCACCTTGTCCCCTGACATTTCACAAATTCCCAAATACAACGTATCAAACTCGGATCCGCCTTCCTCAGCAAGGCCTGAAGTTGTTCTTCATTCAAATGACAAAGTGCTTGGAGGACGATAGTCTCCCTTTCGAAGTTCCCCATCAGACATTTAATGTTCAAAAGGGCTCATGAATTGAGTAAAACCTCAGCGAATTGAGATTTTTTGTTCTGCCATCTTCAATTCGCCCGTAATTATCATTTCAAGTCTCGTCTGAACGGTATAAATTCGTCAGGTCACACCGTCACAATGAAGATCGCCTTTTCCCCTGGTATTTCATAACATTTTCCTCCAAATTACCCTATTATTCCTTATGAATAAAAAATGATTACGCGGCTAGGACGACCTCGGGGCTGAGCTCCCCCATAAAAATGAATTTTTAAAGTATTCGTCTCGCTCAATAACGTTTTCCAGTCCACCAATACAGGCTTGACCCACAACCGAGTCGTCTTTGAAGCAACTTTTCCACCGCCGTAAGCCTCTGGCTCCAAAGGGCAGGCTCCAACGATCCTTCTCTGCGAACGTTAGATAATTATGCATTCGGTTTCATGTAGGCATTAGGCAGAAGTTCGACATCACATGCTACTACGCACCGGACCCCCCGAGCTCCATAAAGGAACGATCAATGCTGTGGAAGCTGGTCTTCTGCAGAGAGGCTTTCAACTGGGTGTGGTCATGTATTTCCTACAAACGTAATACATGTGTCAAGTGAATGCAGATGGAGAGGTGAACATACATGGGACTGATGTACAGAACTTTATCGAATGATCTCCGTCATTATGGCCCAGGGAATCAATTATAAAATCCATAGATAGGTACATCGTCGCCAGATACAACGAGTGGAAAATTGCTCTTGTGTTGCATATAGTGTAGTTATTTTTGATAATAAATTGGTAATTTGCTTCCGAATGGCTATTTTGCACGTCATTTCCTTCCATCAAGTGTAATTCTGTGTTTATTTCGTTTTATTGGATTGAATAAGATTTTTTTGTAAATAATTTTGTCAGATTTTCAACTCAGTTGAATGTTATCATCTTCATTATTCTGATTATCCCTTTCTTCTACACAACCGATTGCCTTTTTTACGGTTCTATCTCTCCCCTCAGCCCTTCGATAAACTGTTAATAGAAAAATTTTATTTACATATACTTGAATGAATTTGAAACATCACGTTCTTCGATGAAACATCACATCGAACAATTCGAAAATTAAAAAAAAATCGATGAGTTAAATTTTAATTAATGGCAAGTGATAGGGCTCAAATGTAGGTAACATTTGAAAAAAAAAGATTCAATTCCATCCATTCAATGCCATTTTTGGACTTTTTGGATCATAATAGATTGATATAACACAAAAAATCCAAAACTTGAATTTGAACGATTACAAAGCTTCCATTTGGAAGCAATAAGTTCTCACCATAAAATAATTAATAAATCCCCCCTGCAAAATCCTGATTTTGTTATTAATCTGCCGAACTCTTTGGTTTCCTCAAATAACTTCGTCTACCCATTTATTTGATGACATGTCTCCCAACTTTATTCCATTCAACGTAACAATATCTCCCTTTCGCCATCACGTGTGAAGAACATTTAATCAAAAATGAAAATTACTCCATTCAAATACAAGACGATCACCACAGAAATTAAAGTCCAAAATCACCAAAACCTTCTTTCAATATAATTTTTATTTCTCCACATAAAATTATAAAAAGAATTGTGCTTTAATCACTCGATACATCTTTGGGAAACTATAAACAATTCTCACTTAATTAAGTTCAGTTAACTCTATTTATCCAACGGCGAAAGGGAAGCCTGAACGAAACTCCGACGACGAAGAGTCGAAGGAATAGCCAATTCTCTTTGATCCAAAAATCTTTGATCACCGTGCTGAGAGAATATCAGAACAAGTGCAAATGAGAGTGTATCTTCTTTTCACAGAGAATAATAATCGCTGAGCAGAAGGAGTGAAACCGAGTAATTCTCCCGAATAACAAATGATCGATAAAAATATTCTCCCCCTTAGTCCTCGTATTTTATTCGCTATAATGCCTACGAAATGCAGAAGTTAATTGTTTAGTTTCTAGCTATACGAAGTACTTGATCTAATTCATGGTTTCTCATAAAATAAGTGATGGATTATCACGCCTCATCGTCTCTCCTTCCTATTACGTTTATATTGATCACAATATGATGATTTATCTTAACAATTAATTGAAATCCATCACTCGTAGTCGAAATTTTTTTATATTGTCTAATAATAATAATTACAATAATGTTTTATAGTACAAAATGATATTTTTCCCTCATTAAATCTCATGAGGATGAATCGTCCTGTCAAGAGGGCAAAATTATCTATTTTCCCCTTTTTACGAATTCATCTCTTCATGTCGTACAGTCGGATGAGTCGTATTTAACTTGTTAATTAACTGGGAAAATGTGCCACGAACGAGGTCAATATTTCGACGATATACTATTACAATATGAGCCAGGAGCACATTACACTCCTCAGTGGTAAAATGAAGTTGTAAACCTTTAATGACTGTTCTTGTGATTCTTGAACTTCAGTTTTTTGCAGCCCTGCATTGGTGATCCTCGTGAATCGCAGGTGTTGGGAGAAATGGCAATGTGATTGGGGGTTGACATTTCAGTATCTTCCGAGGTCGACGTCGGGCGCCTGATTCTCCAGGGTACAAGGCCTCAAGAATTCCTGTCCGCGCTCGTGGAGCCATTTATTCGCCACTGAAATTTTAAGGGCACATTTATTATGGTGAAATAATTGTGTCAATCGAGATTTTATTTCTTTGAGTGATGACTAGAGTGGTGAAGAATTATTCTTGAGATTGCGAGGGAAATCTTGAAACTTAAAACGACTCGTTTTAGGTGACATTTTCGGGGGTTTTATTGACTAAACTTTTAATTTATGGAATGTTTAATGAAAACTTCGATGATAATTCTTTTAATTCGTTAAAATTGTGTAGTTCAATTTTAGATATCGCTGTGCATTATTTGAGATATTCCTGGCGAGAATTGTCTGAGAGAAAATCTCTCTGAGGCCTCAAATTGATAGTAAATGAATAAAAAATGAAAATCTTCTATCAAGAGACAGAATAATTGCTTTCGTTTCATCAGTTCATCAGTTTCGCCCTCAACCACTCAAAGAGTTTTTGCAAAAAACCTTTGAAAAAGTAACGAGACAGAAAAATAATTATGGACATCTGCCTACCCCATTTGGATCCAGTGAGCACTGGACACGCCGCATGTCTGGTTTTGTAATCACCCTCGCCATTGGGTTTCAAATTATACCAAAATGCAGCAGCACCTTTTTTCGGCCAGAGTGATATGTTTATTGCTGTGAAGACTGTTCCACCCCCTTGTTCAACATCACTCATCTAAAATTGAAGATTAATCGCAATGTCCCAAGAATCAATAAACAATTTTATAATTCCATTGGAGGAACTGGTTGAACTTCCAAAAAACTAGATTATTTATCTTGAAATCTATTTTTTATAAAATTTTCAACATTCCCACATTTTATAATTTTGGAAATAAATCATTGTTCGTAAATTATTTATAGAAAAAGTCATAATCTCCAAAAATAGTATTTTCGTTTCTGTCAGATTTTTGAAATGTTCTCTAACGGTTTAAAACCAAGAATCAAATAATATTTCCCATCAAGTATTAAACATTCATGTTAAATCAGTCAGAATTTCCAGAGTTTGTCTCCACTGATTAATTTTAAAACAGAAAAAAAAGAATAGATGAATAAATTACTGAATTCATTGAAAAAAAAAAATTTTAACTAAATATTTTCCCCTCAAAATTGATACTCACGTAATAGAGAACCGTGGCAATACGATTACCCGTGCCTAGGCTCTTAAATGCATTAGTCTCCTCCCTCTGCAAGAATAAAAAAAAGTACCGAATGAAATAAGTAATTTGATGAAATCATGATTGGTAGGTGGCAATCGATAATTCAAGAAATTGCTCACCCTGGCAAAGTCAAAGTGGGGCTCGTAATGACCTCCAATGCCGTAATTGACCACCTGAAGCTCCTCGGCTGTGTCCACAGTCATACTAGTCATATGCTCCACCCTTCTACTCACAGCCTGCACGTGTTTGTGTTCGTGCTCCTGCAGCCAAGCACTTTTACTTATTCGATAGTTGGCTATTTCCAATTCACCGGTCTTGTAATTCTGCACTGTTGCACGTTTGAACTGTGGTAATATCAATTTCATGCGTTAAATTTGTCATAGATTCTCAATTATCAATTTATCATCAATAAATCTATCAAATATTATTATTATTATGACGCTTATTATTAATATAATGTATTAATGTAATTATTATATTACATTAATAATGAATTTTTCTCATTAAAATAAAAAAAAACGGTTTCCACTCCATGCGAATTTTATTTTTTATTTTCTTACGTTCATATGAAAAATTATTATATGGAAAATGATTTTATGACTAGTTAATTAACTTATGATTGTGTAATAATATGAATTGTAAACTCACTCTGGGCTGCGCCATTCGTTTGATGGTTTCAATCTCATCATCATAAATGACATCGTGGTAAATGACGATTCGAGGGTCGAGGTACGCCTCTTCCTCCTTGAAGGGAGCTATCTTGAGGAATGGAATTCCTCGATCGACGTAACGACATTTCAATTGCTTCTTTATTTGCGGAGAGAGGGGCACCTCCTCTCGACACAACATTTCGTACCTCTCACGCTCCGTCATTTCGTCCAGTGATATCATTTTCTTCTCAACGATTGTAAACTGTGGAAATACGTGGAATTGTGAGGGGTCAATTGTTCACTTGTGAGTAAATTTGGAAATCGTTTAAGTATTTGGGGATTTCTTTGTTAGGAATTTCTGCAGAAAGTGACAAAATTTAATTCTTTTTCTTGAAATACATTGGGAAAAAATAAATAAATGAATGAATGAATGAATGAATAAATGAAGAAATGAAGAAAGAAAAAAATGAATAAATGGAATAGCCAATTGACCCCAATAATTCCCTAAACTTCACCTTCCAGAATTAAATTAAATTCAAGATGCCATCCCCATCGCAATCTCATTTAACGAACTCTTAATGAAACAGCCCCAATTACCTGACTGGTAACCGGCACATCGTTCTTGCCGTCCTCCCCCAGTTTTCTCTGTCCCTGACTCTTGAGTATTTCTTCCTGATAGTACGCCCGATTGCCAAGGGCCCTTTGATGACTCGGCACCAACTCAAGAAGCTCATTCGTCATGCTCAAGGCGCGTGCGACGTTACCTGAAATCACAAGTACCCGCCGGATATTTACCGAATGATAAGCAAACCCGACAGTTGGACAGTTCCTAGACCTCTCCCACGTGGCTCGATAAACAAACAAATTGAATTACAAAGTTAGCGTTCCCCCTACAACTCCAAGGGAAATAAGAGAAAAATTCTAAACAGAGAGGTAAACTTTGCCATTGTGTATGGAGTCGATAAATATTTCAAATCTGCGAAAACGTCGAGGGGGAAACTCCGGGACTGAATAATTTGAAGATCACATTTAATAGAATTTTAAATAGATTGGAAACTCAAGACAATAATTTCCTGAATTCTCACGATTTTCAATATTTTATTTCAATCTTCGATAGATAAACAAATTGAACTGAAGTGAAATAAAAAAAAATCTCAGAGAAGTAAACTTTGTCATTGTTTATGGAGTCGATAAATATTTCAAGTCTGCGAAAACGTCGAGGTGGAAAAACTCCGGGACTGAATAATTTGAACATGACATTTAATAGAATTTTTAATAGATTGGAAACTCAAGACAATAATTTCCTGAATTCTCACGATTTTCAATATTTTATTTCAATCTTCGATAGATAAACAAATTGAACTGAAGTGAAATAAAAGAAAAATCTCAGAGAAGTAAACTTTGTCATTGTGTATGGAGTCGATAAATATTTCAAGTCTGCGAAAACGTCGAGGTGGAAAAACTTCGGGACTGAATAATTTGAACATGACATTTAATAGAATTTTTAATAGATTGGAAACTCAAGACAATAATTTCCTGAATTCTCACGATTTTCAATATTTTATTTCAATCTTCGATAGATAAACAAATTGAACTGAAGTGAAATAAAAGAAAAATCTCAGAGAAGTAAACTTTGTCATTGTGTATGGAGTCGATCAATATTTCAAGTCTGCGAAAACGTCGAGGGGGAGAAACTCCGGGACTGAATTATTGAAAAATAAAAGCCACAATTTATAGTGCAGCTGGGAGCAGTGGCGGAGGGAGAGTTTACAAGGTATTTATAAATGCGCAATTGGATAAAACAATTAAGCTTGCACTGTGGGAAATTTCTGTATTTCAATTTTAGTAGCTTAAATTCTCAAATTCATGAAATTTGAACGACATTTAATTGAATTTTTAATAGATTGGAAATAATTAACAATAATTTCCTGAATTTTCACGATTCTCAATGATTTTTATTGAATTGAAGTGAAATAAAAGAAAAATCCACAACAGAGAAATGAACTTTGGTCATTGTCTATGAAGTAAATAAATATTTCAAGTCTGCAAAAACGTCGAGGGACGAAAACTTCGAGACTAAACTATTGGAAAATGAAAGCAACAATTTATAATGTATCTGGGAGAAGTGGTTGAAGTGAGACCACGCGGGGAGAGAGTTTACAAGGTATTTTCTCAACCAAAGAAAAGACTCTACTCTTTTCCATCTCCCGGGGGGATTTTATGGGATCCTCTGTGAGCCAGCAAATCCCTCCCCAGTCGAGACGCAGATCGAAAATCCGTGGAATATCCTGAGATTAAAATCCTTTAAAAAGAGGGAAAAAAATAGCGGGAAAAGTTTCATACGAACCTTGCATGTAAGTGGAAAATGCCAGATATTCGAGGATGTCTGGCTTGGTTGTGGTGGTTCTGTTCTGCTCGTCTTGCAGGCGATTCATGGCTTCCTGCATCCACAGGACTGTGTGGTAGTAGTCACCATTGTTGTATGACTGTCGTCCCAACTCGAAGCAGTCGCCAGCTGTTAAAAATTAAGTGGAAATGCGTTCGGATTGATACGTTATTTTGGAAAACTTTAGGGATTTTGGGATTCCAATCGATGGTTTTGTGAACAGAACAGAATATTCATGATTTCGATTCATGAAATTTCTCCTTTTTTGTTTTTATTTTTTTTTTTAGTGGAAGATTCTCGAAATTCAGGAAAAAATTTTGAATTTTTTATTTTTTACTAAGTTACTAAGTTACTGACAAATGAATGACTATGTTTCAGAGAACACTGGAAATTTATGTGGAATGATTAAAAACCATTAAAATTTCAAGCGAAAATATTCATATTCTGTTTTTATTTTCTGACTAAATGGAGCCATTTTTGTATAATATCAACAAAAATTGGAGAATTCTTCGTTTTTTCTGAAGAGCACAGAATAATTATTCAATCAAAGCCTGAAAATCCATAAACTTTTTGAATTTCCAAGGATTTTCATGGGGAATTTCAACTGAAAATTCATCTGCAACCTTACTCTTTAATAATTTGAATAAAATTTGACAATAAAAATTTGTAACAGTTTTTGTTTTTCAGCGGACATTGAATGTTTACGTAAAACTTCCCAAAAAATATAGAATTTCTCTCTTATTCCTTAACATGATTCCGTAACTTTGTGAAAAAAAATTGATCAAATAAAAAATCTGAATATTAATATTAACGAAAGTTTGAATAAATTGAAAAACTTGAATATTCTTGCGAGAATATTCATATTCACTCTTTATTCTCTCCATAAATAAAGAAATTCTACTGCAGTGACACAGAAATAAGAGAATTATTTTTACTTTGAATTTTCACTAGAGAATTCCTCGACACTTTCATTCCTCAATAAATTGAGCTGTATCGGAAAAAACAGCAAAAGTGCTAAAAAAATCCCATAAAAGGCTTTCGGAGGATAAACACAAACATCCTGAGGACACCACCAAGTGCGAATGCATAACGTCACGTGGAACAGATATAAACCCGCAGTTATTCTGAAATAAAGTACCATAAATCATCCCTCCGCAGTCCCGTGCGACCGGATGCCCTCCTCCGAATAGGAAAGTCGGTTTTGTTCGTTAATTAACTTTGCGTTTTCCATTCCCCGCACAGTATACCCGTCAGCCCACTCCTTCATTATTCCCCGGGAAAAAGGCTAAATCTAAAAAAAATATGGAATAGAAAAAAGGATTCAGAAAAAAATACCCTTGTTCTGCGATTTTTCTCCTCTTTCATGTGCGCTTTTTCCCTCCACCTTTTTTCTCTCATTTTCAACGTGGAAAAATCTACATGGGTGCTAATATAGTTGCATAATGTGTTGCACAATGTGTTGAGCCTGGACGGGGTTTTGACTGCCAGAGGATTTTGCGTGTATGGCGAATATTGCCTTCAGGCGGAAAGATAGTACATGATGGGCTGTGAGTGTTTTCAGCGGCGATATACAAGCGAAAATATTGTTTGGTATAGTGAAAAAGGAATTTTTATTCAGGTGATGATGGCAATTAGGTGAAATAATTGGATTTCGAGGAGCTGACGGTAAATAGTAACATGAATGTTGAAATTGTATTCATAGAACATATTTAATGGAATGAAAATTGAACGGTTTTCATTCTACCCACATAAATTATCCAGATATTCTGTAACAAAATTCTTCAGAATGAATTGTTCAAGTTTTTTAAATTTATTATTGTTCGTTTTCATTGAAATATTCAAGCAAAAAACCGAAAGAATTTAAAGAAGAAGATTGGGTTGATTAATTTCTGTAGGAATAATATCATTAGAATGGATTTTTTCGATCGAAGAAAATCCATTATTTTTTTTATAGAATATTGTCAATAGAATAGAAGGAATTAATCAAGTTTGGTGTGAATGTTTGAATTCTATAGAAAATTCTAGTGATCGATAATATTGAATAAAATAAAAATTCATTCATTTTGATCCTTCCCTTATTAATTATTCCACTGTGACATTTTTCAAGTTGTTTACTTTTGTTCTTCTCTCAACGAAAAACATTGAAACAAAAAACGTGAAAAATTGAAAAAAAATTGGGCTGATTTATTTGTACAGAAATAATTTCACGGAATAAGTTTCTTAGAATGAGGACCACTTATTAATTGTTTTAATCTATAGAATACTTTTAGTCAAAAATAAGAAATCAATAGATTAATCAATAGTTGTGCACATTATTCTATTTTTTACAGAAATTTCTTGTTATAAATTTCCCAAGTTGAAAAAAATAATTTTTTTATTGAAATTTCATTGAAAATTTAAGCAAAACCACTTGGAATGTCACCCGAATAAGTTATTTCGCAGAAAGAAAACCCTAAACTATTTTTGCAATAATAAATAATCAAAAAGGGATTTTCCCCCTGGATTTTTGGCATTACAATAGATAATGATGAGGTACTAACCACTCAGGCCAGTGCTGTACTGAACCCCATTCAAAACTCCCCTGGCCACATGGGATGTATCAAGTTTGTACGTGTCCTGCAGCCTCATCAGTGCCACGGCAGCCCCATTGAGATCCTCATCAGTCGGAAATTTGAGATTATTCCGCGAGCTCGTGATGTTGGATACGAATGCTTTCCCAACATCCTCGGTGATTAGTTCCTCCACGCGCTTCCAATCCGTGGTCAGACGTTTCACTAGAAGATATGCGTTTATTGGGTTGGAGAGGTACTGCTGAATGTTGCGGGAGGCTTCTTCGTGCTCTCGAGAATAATCTTCAACATTTCTGGAAGATGAACAAAGTTCATTCATAAAAAATGTTTCGATTACATGAAATTGACAATTAATTGCAACGAAATCATCTATTCAAATGAACTAAATGATTTATTCAATTAATTTATTCAATCAGTACAGAATAATTCCACTTTCTTAATATTACGTTTACTAAGGTTTTCTTCGAACAAAGTTGATTAGAATTAATAGCTATAATTATAAGATTATCTCACATTTTTGACGTTAAGTATAGGAGAATCTGAATGCAATATAGTGAAAATGATGATCGATTTTTTCACTTTGAACAAATAATATTAATATCCAAATACAAAATTTCTGATATGAATAAAAAGAAACTGTGACTCAATATTCCAAATGAAGTTTTAATTTTTAATTTGGTGCTGAAAACACAAGATGACAATATTCTAAGCACGGAATTATATTGATGAGATGAACAACAGATTAATTGAATTACCGTGTGAACTAACTAAAAATTGATAACAGTGTGGGCACGCACTTTTACCAGAGTATCAACAAACATTGAATTCCAGAGATTCACACACTAAAGTGTGTTCTAGAAGGAATTGAATTGTAATTATGATTAAAATCTTATTCAGTGAGCGTAGGAATTAGAACATGAGCCAATCATTTATTGTAATACGAAAATTTAACAGCGGATAAATTGGGACATATGAGTCTCATTGGTCGTGTTGTTTTTTGCAATGAGAATGATTATTAACAACTAATTGAAAAAAAAAGAATATCAAGAAAAAGGACATCAAGAGGTCGTATTTGTTGTATGTGACGTAAATAATAAGTTTTCGCAGTTTCATATGCCTCATTCAATGGAGAGTCCACTGAATCCTTGAAAATATCTCCACCAGGGCAACGATAAATAATAAATTTAAAAGTATATATTTTAGTATAATCGGCTCCATCTGCAGCATTAAAATCAAAATTTCGAAAGTCCGAAGAAAATCCACAATTAAGACTGAATTTTCAGTCCATCGGGGTGTGATATTTTAACAACGAATCTATCGTTATGATGAGCCACTACAGATTCTGTGAAGCGAAGGGAAAAAATCGAAAGAGAGGGCATTGAGAGGGAAAAAATGAATTCCAATGCTCGCAAGGGCATGACGATCCTCTACGAATCGCTGCCCACGTACGAGTGAGGAGTAAGGGGATTGGGAATGGTATATAAAAGAAAGTGGACGATAGGGATGAGAATAAAACAAAACATCAGGGATCATCCGAGCGAAATAACGAAGATAGTTATAATCTCTGGCAATGTCTTTGTACCTGTAACAGGTCATCCACCTATTCCAGATATTTTTGATCATATTTTCAAGCCGTGCTAATGTTGACCGTGTCTGCTTGCCAACGATAACGGCGCCCTTTCCAATCTCTGAACGAACCGTTTGGAAAAACATAGAACGCAAATATCGTGCAGTGACGACGATTCTCATTGGATCGGTAATAAAAATATAGGAAATTTCAACCAATTGGAAAAAGTGGAAGGGCATTCGACGGATGCGTTACATGGGCCGAAATGAATTTTTACGCCAGCTTTTTTGTTCGGATCGGGAAATAAAAGTGGACTAATAACGTGAAAGACTCGATTCAATATGAGTCTGCTCTATTGGAAGGGAATTTCATTTCAAATTTCATGTAACAAATTCTTCAAATATTTAATAATAACGAATTTATAGGGAATTTCAAGAGATTCTTTACTATTCAATTTTGAATACGTTGAACGAAAAATTAAATTTCAGTGCAAATGTTGATTAAAATGGAATCGAAAATTGAATTAAATTTATTTTCTTTTAAATTTATTAATGAAACGATGTATTCAATTTTTCTGTTTGGATTGTGAATTAAAATAAATGGATTAATAAAATGAAATATTGGATTCAATATAAATTTACTGTATTGAGAGGGAATTTTATCTGAAATTTCACGTGGCAAATTCTTCAAATATTCAATAATAATTAACTTACATGGAATTTAAAAATTATTTTTCATTCAATTCTGAAAAATTTCAATTGAAAAAAGAATTTTTTTATTCAATTTTTTTAAATAGTTTTTTTTTCATTGAAAATGGGATAAAAAATTGCATGAAATGTATTTTCATCGTCAAAATGAATTAATGAAACGAGATATTGGATTCAATATCACAAAGCCGGCTCATTCAATCCAAAAAAGCGAGTATGGTTGAAATATATTGGATACATCGAATAAAACGAGAAATTAAGAAAAAAAAAAATCCCCAGTGAATGGTTCGGATTCCCCTGAAAGCGGTTTGTGTACATTTAGCCCCGATTTTCCCAAGGATTTTCCACAAAAAGGAAGTGAATCCCCGTCTGAACGGATTTACGAAAGGCGAAAAAATGTTGAGAAAAATAAACGAACTCAACCGAGATATCTATGGATTGTGAGACGAGATTGGGTGGTCGACCGAGTGGAATGACGGTAGATAATAACCCAAGTTCAATAGCTGGGTGCAGTGGTGGTTCTAATTAAGATAATACCACCACCGACAGAGCCCTCCGTTCATCGTTTCGCCGGGATCAGATTGAACAACTTCAATAATTCAATTACTTAAAGTACATCACTGGGCGAAAAATCTGTTGATTATTCGCTCTTTTTTCCAACGCTTGGCAGCCTTATCAAGTGAGTTTTCCTAACGTCCCCAGGAGTCTTATCGTGAAATGGGATGCTGGTGGCTATGGCCCGCCATAAATGAGGGGATACTCAACACCGCGGTGTGCTTCTCATTGTTCTCCGTTCCCCACTGTTAGCAATATCCGATTTCCTACTGAAATGCACAGTACTCTAGGAGATAGAACCACTCTACGATTATCTCTGCGCGATTGCAGGTATTGTTCTTCGATGTACCGGGAGGAAGATATACTTTCTGCGTTTGAGATGTTTCGGGGATGATCAGGGTTGTTAACTGGTTTTGGTAATTCAGGCGATGACGTTATTAAAATACGTTTGAAAAATTTAACAGCTGATAAATTGTGACATACGACTCTCACCAGTCACACTGCTTTTGCAATGCCAACGATTATAAACAATCCTTTAATAAAAAATCCAGTGTAACGTTTTTCGAAGCCAATCTATTCGGCGCATTCTATCATTAGATTTTTCATAAATGATGATATTATACATTAAATATATTACGATAATACTTGATTATATTATATTCTATACTATATTATATTATAATGCATTATATAATGTATAGGGGAGGGTGGGGTAAACCGGACACTTTAGACTTTTTAAAAATTATTCATAACTCAGAAACAAATTGATCAATTGAGCTCAGTTTAGGCTCGTCACAAAGGGAAAGAATAGTTCTTTGTACTGAAAAAAAAAAATTACCAAATTTTATCAACATTTCCACCCCTCATTAACATTTAAAAAAAAGTCAAAAGTGTCCGTTTTACCCCAACCTCCCCTAATGTACAATCCGCGGACTAATCTAGTCAATCAAAAAAAGGCGCTAGTCCTCCCAAGATACCGTAGACCCCTGCAGCCCTCAACCCGTTCCCACCAGCCGATAAACTGGAAATCCCCGGGCTTCCACGGACGGCAGCAGATGTCGTGCTCCCGCGCCTGCGTAAACCAAACCCCTCACTGCGCCGACGCCCCACACAACCGAGCATTCCTCCCGAGCCGCAGTTCTCCAAGCCTATCCACTTCCATCTCCCCCAGAGGCCATTCCTCGCGTCACGAAAAATAACATTACCAAAGTGTCATCGAATGTAGTTTCGTGTTTATTAAACTCCTAACCTCAAATACCAATAATGAGGAAGCGTTTAAAGCCCCTTAAACCCCAGTGACCGATGCTATTGCACACCGCGACTTGCCCGCACCGCGTAACCAGTGTTTTCCCCCAAGTGCGCGTAGTTCGCCGTCGGATCGAAGGCGTAAACCCACTCCGGGATCTGGCGCAATGGCGGACGTACGTCTGGTTAACACCGACGCCGAGCCCGAGCAGGCGGAGGAGGCCTGCGAGGACAAGAAAATCTTTCGTCCCGGTGATTATCTCCGACGAGTGATTCGCGATTGGATGCGTTCGCGCGATCCCCAATCGGTGATAACCGACAAGTCACCAGCTAGCATAGCAATAGGAGTCAATGCCGATCTAAATCTGCGCATTGGTGCACAAAGATCCCACTGCACATGGACATGGATCTTCGAGGTGCGAAGTATGGGAAGAGCCCTGAAAAATCTCGTACTCTCCCTGGACGCGCATCGCGAACACTTTGGCATAAGATCGGTATTCCGCGATGGGATGAGGATCGGCTACTCGGACGGCCAAGAGTGGCACGATCCAGTGATCGATCATCAATCCCCCCGTCAGGTGGATGGATTGATGTGCTACACCATAGAGATATTCTTTGCCGCGAATGGACACGGTACATACCGACAAAATGTCCTCTTCGGTTTCGACGGTTACCCCGTTATCCGGCGAAAAATATGCGCCGACATTGTGCCGGTGAACGATCTAACGCGCTTAAACGACGCAACAAAGTATTTTTTAAACCAAACAGCCCACGTTTGGTCGTCGAGAAGCAATGATTACCATCGATTCGATTCGCCATTTGTACCGGCAACCGATCCCTGGGAGAAAAATATCGCCAAGGCTTATCCATATCCTGGTGAAGATGTATTTATACTGTCGCATGCTACATTGACTGAGGACTCCTTAACGCGTACTAATTACCGTGGTAGAATGCACGAGTTGATATCGGTTGAGGAATTGGCGAGACACGAACAGGTCGCTAGGTACAATACTATTGTGCAGATACAGTTGTCATCGTGTTATATATTGTCGTCGGATACTGATGGCTCGACAACAGCTAAATATGCACCACTTGGAGAACTATTTGCCCAGGTCTGCATTAAATATGTTTTATTCGCATATCGCAATTTCAATGGTAAATCGGTAGCCAAACGGTAAAGCTGTTCATGTTTATTTGCCTTGACGACAGGGACCGATGAAAATCTCTATTCATTCCGATGGTGTTTAGTCTTGAAAACCAAACGTATTGTTGTATTGTTGTATTTAATTAAGTAATAAGTCGGAATAAATCGTGGAACAAAGATGAAGTTATTCCCAAACAGAGAATGACAATCAACTTTCTTTTATTTTACAAAAGAGGGGAAGAGGATAGATTAAACCATTCGATTCCGAAACAGTATAGACAAACAAGAACAATGTTCTCTCAAATATTATTGTAAACATACAAAAGAAACATCAGTTTTCAATGAATATCTCGGAATATAAGACGGATAGCGAAATTTTCGTCATGATCGTTTTTGTGGAGCGAACGGAGCACTACAAAAACGTCTTATCGGAAATTTCGCCATCTCCCTTAGATTCGAAGATATTCCGCGAAAACTGGGCTAAAAGCTGAACCGACTTGAATCGTTTTACCGTTGTGCTGCTGAATTTCGTAATTGCACATTTGAAATTGGGAAATTTGAGTTGATGTCATTAAGTAGGATCTTTGGTTTTATATTTTTTGGGGTTTTGGAGTAGTTGCCTTTAGGTCGTGGTGTCTCAGAGGACATGAAGAGCGGTCGTCTACTCCTCCGTGGATGCAATACCATTCTGATGAAGCTATTCAACTCCCCGGATAGCCCGATAAATCCAGAATCAACAGATGTTTACGAAGCGCATGTTGAAGACAAATGTAATTACATGATATACGCTAGACTGTCAAAATCATGTGTCGAACGTTTGAATTTAAAAGCCGACACTGAAGTTAAGATGTACGTGCAGTTTGTTCTCAACAGATTGCCATTCTGTGAATGGCACAGAGCTGTTGATTGTCTGCCAGATACACGTCTAGTTTTTCCCGAATCACGCTACGAATTACCAATGCGTCTACCATCCGTCCTTGAATCCAATAAAAATGGGGCTAAATGGTGTGAATTGTTGGATAATAGATTGAACGATAGACAGAGAGAGGCAGTTAAACTTATGATAGCACCGATTGAGAGATATCTGCCACCGATATTGTTACTTGGACCTTATGGAACGGGAAAGACATTCACTATTGCCCAAGCATTACTGATACTCTTGCTCCAGAATCCCATGAATAAGGTACTGCTGTGTACACAGAGCAACAGTGCAGCTGATCTTTATGTTAAGGAGTTCTTTGATGAGTGGTACACCACGACCAAGGAGGAGAGACTGAAACCGATGAGAATATACTACAAGAGACGTTTGAGAACGACTGTAAGTATCTTTCATGTGGCATTATTTCATTCTGACGGTAGGAACATAAGCCATTTCCCAAGTCATCGGGTTCCAGAAATAACGTACTTTGGTGGATGATATAAGTATAGGCTTCCTAGACAGTTGTGAAAAGTCACGCTGGGTTTTGAAATATGGTGAAGTGTTTTGGTCGTTGTCGCATCAAATGAGTCATACGTCAGGTCTAGGATAGGCTTTTGGACAAAAGATTGATACCTACGCTGGTTTCATAAATGGATGACGATTTAGTTAGGGTGTTCGTCGAGGGGAGACGCATCATTGTTTGTGATCTTAGAGATTCTGGTTGAATACGTAAGGGAATCATACTGGGATATTCATTTTGAGACTGATGATCTCAAGTTAAGACTTGTGAAAGTCGTAGAGACTTTCAACATCTTCAAGTTGAGACATTCCAAAGTTTGAAATTGAACTTAACTTGAGGAAAAAGTATAAAACGACTTTCGAAAGTCGTAACTTGAGGTATTCAAAAGTCTCAACTTGAGACTCACAGAAGACTTAAATTGAGATCTTAAGTTTCAAATTGAGACTTCGGAAACTCTCAACTTAAGACTGCAATGGGAGGAAATAATTCGATAGAGATAATTATAATAATACCCATAGGTAAGACGACCTCCGCATTTATTCGCCCTCTTAACGAGTGATTGGGTTTTCAACCTTTCGAGACTTTCAGGCGTAAAGATAAGACTTAAAAATCTCTTTTTACAGCTTTTGAAATAAGAGTTACAGTAATTGATTAGGACTTAAGGATATTATTGTTTTCCCTTGATCATAAACAAATTTGCTGCACATTATTTGTTGCTTAAAGTCGAGACCGTCAAATATACCGCAACCCTCCCCGGATATACTGAATCAATTTAGATAGAGATTGAAAAAAAAAACTCCAGTGAATAGCCTCAATTTGCATTACGCAATTTTGATTACAGGTTCACCCAACAGTCCGGAAATACTGCCTAGTAGACCCCAACGGCTACTTCCGCGATCCCACAAAAGAGGACCTGGACTCTTGTGGATTGATCGTGACAACCCTCGCAACTTCTGGCTGTTTAACAGCCCTAGACGTACAACCCACCCACATAGTCATTGACGAAGCAGCCCAGGCCCTCGAATGTGAAGCACTAACCCCATTGGCACTTGTCGGTCAAAGGACTCGAATCATTCTCTCTGGAGATCAAATGCAACTTGCCCCGGAAGTTTACAGCGACTTGGCGAAGGAGAGGGGTCTTGGTACAAGCCTCCTCGAGAGATTGCACAATGTCTACTCGCAAAATCATCCGTGCAGAGTCAGTCTGTGCCAGAATTATCGGTCACACGCGGATATCGTCAGACTGACGTCCAATCTTTTTTATGGAAATGAGATTGAACCCAGTGGTCCTTTACTGCCTAATCATCCTAATCTGAAGCCGTTGCTGTTTTATGCTGTGCAGGGGATTGAAGTTCAGGTGAGATTAATGTTTTTTTTTAGTTGTTACTTCTTACTATAGTTTTCAGAATTTACTAAGAATGTCAACAAGGTTTGTTGACTGTTAAAAATGTGGAAAGTGTTAAGAAACTTTGGGGGCTAGTGGGAAAATTAACAAGATTTGTTAACTATTGGGAAGTTCCATGTGATTAACAGTTTGTGTTAACTATCAATAATATCAAATACGCTTGTTAATCATTAGAAAGGGTTTACAAAGCTTGTTAACTATGAAAAAAGATAACGAGTCGTGTTAACAATGAAATTAACGACTTGTTTTTCATTTTTTCAGGGACAATTCTCAACAGGCTTCTACAACGACGAAGAAGCTGTGGAATTAGCAAAAAGAATAGCATCCCTAAAAACCTGTTGGCCAGTGGACGAATGGGGTCCATTCGGTGAAGATTCAATCGGCGTATTAGCCCACTATTCCGAACAAGTGGCGCGCATTCGTAATGAACTGCGTAAACGAAAATTATTCTCAGTATCAGTGGAGCGTGTTCTCAATGTACAAGGAAAACAATTCACAGCTGTGTTTATCAGCACCGTGAGAACGAGAAATTGCTGTCGATATTCAGCCGAGAGTAGTGTCAGTGATTATGGATTTTTAACGAATCCAAGATTACTCAATACAGCTATAACACGTGCTAAAGCACTGGTGGCTGTTGTTGGGGATCCAGTGGCACTTTTGACAACTGGCTCGTGTCGTTCACTCTGGGCAAAGTACTTTCAGAAGGCAACTGTACGAGGTATACCCCAGCAACTTTTGACACAGCATATGACACGCAGTATGGCAACGCCAATGCCACTTGGAATGCCCTTAAATCCATTGGCGAGGGAATTTGTACCACGACAGGCGCAGCGAGCAGACTGAGCATTTATTTATCCTCGTTTATTTCGATGAATTAATGTCCGTGGAATAATCGAACAACTATTGAATGGTTTTGTGATCATGATTATGTTGCTTCCCTCAATTTTCGGAGTTACTGTGTAGTTGAGAGAATAGTGAGCAGGATAGAGATATCTCAGTGGGAAATTAATTTACTCAGTTCTCTTTGTTACTTTATTTTTGTTTTTCCCACCCCTGACATCTCGAGAATACAAAACCGGCTTGACACGAGTCGGTGTAATTTTTATAAATGTACTGAGCGAGAAAAAAGTGAAAAAGAAGAAAAAAAATGTGTAGTTGATTAAGATATATGAGAGAATGAAATAATGTAAATGCCACATCTACCCGATGAAATATCTATATGTCTGAAACATTAACACCTGTAGTTGCGTGCAATTCTTTTCATCCTCTTCCCGTACTGCGTTACGAATCGCTTGGATTAATTTGGTGGCGAATGGAATGGGGCGGGGGAGTTGAAAGAAAGATTTTTCGGATAAAAACGACAATGGCTGGTGGGGGGTTCAATATGCGGGATAGAGCGGTAAGCAACGTGTGGTTTACCGGCCAGACTCGGCTCGTTTGCCTCTCCACTCGTGATTTTTATTATTTTTTTTTTCGGGGGAACTTCCAATAACGCTTCGTGTTTGCACTCGTGGCGAAGGATAGAAAGAGGAAACGTTTCTGGGAGTTTTTCTTGGCTTTTTTGGGAGGGAAAATTACACCGGACGCCTGGAGGAAATTGGGAGACTATTTTTGGGTGAGAATGGATTGGTGGTGATATTCTTGGCGAGATGGTATTCACGGGGTGATGATGAGGATTTTTGGAGGACGTTGGGGGGGGGGGGGGTTTTAGG